GGAAAACAAAACAGAGGAAGGTCCACAAACATCACAGACTATCCAAAGAACATATGCCAAAACAAACACATCACATAAAGTAGACCTAACCGGTGCATTACAGAACTTTGTATCCATTCAAAACTGAACCAAGAAATCAGTAACCAAGTGCAAAGTAACCTGCATTTCGATGAAGACGAGGCACAGGAAAATCTATAAACCATTGAAACCTCCAGTCACTAACAGAGGAGATGCCAACGACACTAAGAATGGCAAGAGTATGACACACTCCTCTCTTCTTTCATGCAAACCTTGAAAATAAAAGTTTCATTAAGAAATCCTGCCTAACATCTTTAAGGAATTGAATATTTAGCTCTTCAATCACTTTTTTCAAGGCATAGTTGAATAGTTTATCTGGCTGTGCAGTTTACATCTTTCATTTCAGATAACAAAGACCACACATGAATTAAGAGAAAGTATTTCGAATATCAGGACAAAACACCATTCTTTTGTTGGTTTTTTTTTGGTTTTTTTTTTTTTTTCTAATGAAAATGATGATTAAAAAAGAAGACAAAACAATGCCTACCTTACCCATCATGATTTCTGCACTAACAGATTTAATGAACAATCAGCACACAGCAAATGAATCAATGGAGACCTTAAAAACTAATATCGCATACATATGATCCGAAAATACAAGTAATCATTCAGTTTGCCAAAAGTTGCACAGCATGAGGCATTTTGACATGGAGAGAAAACTGAGAGCCTTTTGGTTACATTAACAAAATTACTGAAGATGTTTTTCTGGATTTTAAACTCTAAAGGATCCTTTCAAACTATTCAGCTGGAGAGTCCCAATACATCATCCATGTCTTAGCTCTTTTCCCATAAAAGTTCTCTATAATGGGCAGTTAAACAACTTCAATGCATCACTATTATTCTTTCCATTTACATTTCTGACACAGGCCAAAGACACTAAGAACATCAGAAAGGTCAATCTGATGTAACACCCTTCTCGATGGTAACTTACGTTCTTGATTACCAGTGTTATGTAAGGACGTTTTTGTAATTACAAGGTGAAACTGTTCTTCCTTTCTCCTGTAGAATTTTCTCCTTGTAATTTGACATTGCTGTTTCTCCCATTATTTCTCCCTATCTTTTGAAGCTATGAATACGTATCCATAATTCTTCTATTTCTGTTTTACTGTCCATGGCATTTCAAAACAAGCCCCAACCATTCTAGAAGGCCAGTTCAGTCCTTTCACTGATACATTATTACTGTATTTAACCACCCTGATTTTCAAATGACAAGACACTCAGACACTTCAAGCAACTTAAGATTAAGTCCCTACGTTTTTAAAGCCCCTAAAAATATCCAGGGTAGGTGCCAAACCTTGCATTGCTTATCCAAACTACTATCAGAAACCTCACTTTTCTCTTTAAGCATTTGTGAGTTCTCAGAAAGGGATTCAGACATCATTATTT